TGGCCGAGAGCCTTACGTTTGGCTGGAGTTTAGAAAAGAGTAAACTGACAAGGCAGAAATACGTTTGTAAGAAGGGGATGTCAAATCTCTGATGGCTACACAAATCCTAAAGAGTGAACCTACATTCACCAGACTAATGGTGCTGCCAGCTGCCTCTGGTTACAGTGTGTGTTTTGTTTCTTTGTAAAACACGAGTTAAGTTTATTTTGTCAGGTTCACTGGAAGGACATGACTCTTGTTGATATGTTCAACTAACAGGATTTTTTTTCCCTGGTGCTGCTGCTATGCTGGAACTGCACACATTGAACTGAAATATCAGTAAGTGTAAAGGAGATCGTAGCAATGAATTCAGGAAGGAGAGAATTAGTAAGTATGTCTAAGCATTTAATACTACAGCAGACTATGGATTCTGCTTCTTATTTTTCATTAAAGTGCATAGAAAATACAGGTAGGGTTATAGTGTAAAAAGAAGGCACTTCTTCATGTGCAAAACATTAATCAGATCAGGATTCATGAGCTTAATAATTTTGTTAATTAACTGCTTAGAGGTCAGAGTTGTAGCATCTGTTTCAGTACCTTCCACAGAGCAGTTTTTGCATTGTTTAGGGCTTTGGATTCTTTGTTGGTTTGTTGTTAGAGTTTGGGTTTGGCTTGTGTGTTTGTTTATTTGTTTGTTGGTTGGTTTTTTTGTTGGTTTGATTTGGTTTGGTTGTGGGGGGTTTTTTTGTTGGTTGTTTTGTTTTGTTTTGTTTTCCCAAATTTCCAGCCCAAGTGTATCTTCTTGGTTCTTCTGGACATAATTCATAGCAGTGGTGGTCTCCACATAACAAGCGTCCTAGGCTTGGTAACAGTTCACCTGACATACATTGCAGGGTGATGGATATACCCAAATGTTTGACTGATGCTAATAAATGCATTTACAAATGCTCCGTGTTTGGAAAACAAATGAAGTCTTCCAGAAGAACTTGAATTCCTTCCTTTTCCCAGCAAGAGAAACTGTCTGGTTTATCTTTAACTGCTTTTTCTTCATGTTATCTGTCAGGATTTGCTAAATTTTGAAATGGAAATATGTTCTGAACCCAGTCAATTTGACTATTTACTACTGTGGATCTCCAGATCAGAGGTCAGGAGCTTTCAGGCATTTGTGTGTTCATGAAGTCTTCTGGAACACGTGGTTTTAATGCTTATGTGATGTGTCAATAGCAGTTCTCACCGTACATGCTTGCTCTTTTTGAGCACCTCTATCCTTTGATCAGGGTCTTTTTTAACCACTTTAATTTGGCAGCTTTTTCTTATCTAGCAAAAGCAAAGACCAGTAATTGCAGTGTTTTCTGAAATTGATTGAATTTTCTGCATTTCTCTGTTCATTCAGTGTAATTATTAATATGTGGGATCAGAGCAGCAACATAGAACCATGTGCAACATATTGGAAATATCCTGACATTTTAGAAGAGCAGTACAGTATTATTTTGGAGATTTCAGGCATTTAAAATAGGTTCTGACCAGTAACTAATGAATCTTTGAATCTAATCTGTATTTGAATCCATTTTGCAAATGACCCTAGCAACATGGAAAAGGAACATTTGATGTAATAACTTGCATTAAGACAAGAGTAAAAATCCAAAGCATTTCAATGCTTTATTAATGAAGATAATTTGATTACTTCAAAGAGCTTTGTGGTCTCTTGCTAGCTAGCACAACAAATGTCATGACTTGATTCTGCAAGACTTAATGACATGAGAAACAAGCTTCTATGATGTATTTCAAAATACTTCTCTGTGAATGCACACTTGCCTTAATTTGCATTTCTTCAGCAACTTCAGAATATTGGGTCAAATTTCTCCCTGAATCTAATAATGCCAACTATACCAATAATAATAACAACCCCTGTTTGAGGTAGTTCTTTGTCTATTGGTGAATTGAAATAGTTTCATTGCAATTGTAATTACTTCACTAGTTGCCTGTCAGTAGTATGGGAAACAAAAAGAGCAAATGGAAAACTGGAAAAATGGTGTGTGTCATGAGTTCCTACCGTACTGTCTTTGCTCTTTTTGAGCTAATATGAATTGATCTGGTGAAAAATGAATGGCTAATCCCCAACTGTGCAAGGGCTTGAAGGGTTGCTCTCTGTATTGCTATCATCAGTAATTTAAAAGAATTAAATCATATTAAAGTTGCTGCAGCAAGTGGTTTGAAAGTATGAGTTTTGTGCATTGGCCTCCAGTTCACCTTGAGATCAAATTTTCTATCATTTCAGTAAGAAATTTCAGGCTTTCTTATCGCTTCACAGAACAACATCCCACACAACTGGAAACCAGTTGGTGGCAGGGGAGGGACTGCACGGTGGCATGTGCCTAGTCCCCATGTGCGACGGGAAAAGTCTGGTAACTGAAGTAACAGCAGGACTAAAAGAAACACTGTTCAAAACCCAAAATAACTACAACTTCATCAGCCCTGGATCCACGGGCCTGTCACAGTGTTAGATACAAACAAGAGAAGTTCTGGGGTAACTGAATATTTGTCTGCCTTCTCTGCTACCTGTTTTTTTATTGCCTGGTGTTTGAAATGCAGTATTCAGCACCTTTTTCCACCTCTTCTCTTGGTCTGTGCTGGGCTGTGGTTACCACAGGAAACGTTGATAGCAGACTCCAGAGCAAAATGAACTCTGTTGCCTTCAATGATGTGAGTACATTTTTCTGAGGGAGAAAGCAGAGCTGCTTTTCTTGTTTTAATTTGAGTTAGTTTTTGTTCCTGAGGCCCACAGACGATTCCACAGCTTTGGAATCATGGGAAGGTACGTGGTCCTCTTAATTACAGGAGTGCCATTTGTATTGCTGGAGTTAGAGGTCTGCCAGCATTTCCATTACAAACCCCAGTTCAGTGGTTTATACTTCAATCAGAAAAATGTGGTGCTGCCCTTCTGATTCTTGAGTCCCTTCCTCACAAAAAAAGTGACTAGTTTTAAAATATAAGCACAATAAATACATGATTAAATGTTAGCTATATGGGACTTTGCATTCCTATAGTTTAGCAAGAACTTTAATTTAAATTGCTGTATAGGTGACTTTTACTGTATAATGCTTTGGAAGAGCTTCTGGATATTTTGAAACTAGTGAATTCTTTTCATGCTTGTGTGCCGTAACTTAAGTTGATTAGATTGAAACGGATCTGTAGAAAGCAATTAAATGTATTTTGGATTTAAAGACCGACACTTGGAAATGGTTCCCAAACGAGTTAAAGAAAAGACCTTCAAAGTTTTTGTAGCTACCAATTCATACAGTGTTAGTCTGAGTAGACAAAATTTCTGAAAAAAATATGAGTTATCTTTACACAGACACTCAAATCTGGTGGCTGCAGTTTTGTGTGTAAGGTAAAGCTCTAAGAGACGTTTTTCAGAATGGTCTGTTTGCCTATGGTGGTAATCCTTGATTTCAAATCTCGTGGCAGAAGATGACATCTTTCCTGAACTAATGTAATAAATGAACTAAGATTTCAGTAACTTTTTCACAATGGCAAATCTTTAAGTCAAATCTGTTTTTCTCCTGGGAAGTCCTAGCTTTGGGATTGATGCAGAAATCCACGAAAAATACCCATGGCCTCTGTTGCATAGCTGACACCTGTAGGACCCCATCGTTTCATCAAGCTTTGAAAACTCTGATATATTAAAAGAACAGATTCAAAGATTCCTTCTTTTTCTTCTTATCAGGCAGAGCAGCTGAGCTTCTGTTAAAAAAAAAAGCAATGTGGTTTTGATTGCAGAGATGTCTTTGTATTTTTTTTTTATAAAACCTCAGAACAAAACAATGTTACATCAGTATGCATTTTAGGAAAGCCAGAGAAAGTCCAGTAAGGAAAAAAAAGACATTAATATTTCTTATATAATATAGACAGTGTACCTTGCAGTGAATGTCCACTTGTTCTCAGGCAGATTTGCCTTTCAGTTAAAGTGTTTTTAAAGCAGGCATCCTTCAATTTATTTGGAAAATAAATTTCTCATAAAAACTCTCAGAATTCTTAATTTATTTTCTAAAGCATCAACTTTGCCTTTGATTGCTTTCATTATGTCAAAACTTGGCACTAAATGAAGGTTTCAGACCCTGTGACACTTCCTGTCCTGCTGCTGCCCAGTTTAATTACTTGTTGAGGGTGTTCAGGTTTTTATTTCTATTTACAAAAAACTTCATAGCACAGAATTATATGTAGGCTTGGCTGACAGAGGTTCAATGTATGTACATTTTAGGTGGAAGAAAAAGACAAAGTGTCAGCTGTACTGAATGACTGGGAGACCTAAAACTTCTTCAGATGCATGATGCCAGTAAAGCTGGTTATTCACAGAACTTTCTGAGAGACTGAACCATTATCATTTGATTAAATAAAGCATATTTGTATGCCTTGGTATGTTTGATTTTGTAATCAGTGGCTGAATTATTACTTGCATTCTGTGCAGAAGCTGGAGCCTTCCCTAGAGACTTCGACATTCTGTAACAGAAGCTAGGATCAGCCTTTAAAGAATGGTTTTTTTTGGTGAATTAAACATCATTGCATTCAGGATTGGTCACAAGAAGAATTTACAACCTTGCTAAATAGTGGAAATCAAGGGGGAAAGGAAAAAGGTGATTAATTTGGTATCATTAATGATTATAACCTTGGAGAGTGTGAGTTGATGGGTCAGGAAACACAGCAGCAAAACATAAAATAGGAAACAACAGAAATTCAGTTGAAAAAGTAAAGTCAAAAGACACATATGGAAGTTAAGCTAGAAGTACATCAATTGTATATACTGGGAATAACATAGCACTTGGAAAACATAGACAGTAACTCATCAGAACATGTGGTCTTACAGAGAATGAATCATTTGAACAATCACATGGCAAGAAAAACTTGGGCAACATTATGGTCATACTTAAAGAATTTTCTTTTAAAATTTTCAGAATTTTCAAAAGCTTAATCATTTGACTCATGGTTGCTATCTCTAACATGTCTTTCTCATTTCTCCTTAGCTAACAATGCCAACATTTCCTGTTGTTGTGAAGATTGGACATGCTCATTCAGGCATGGGAAAGGTGCAGATGCTACTTACTGCATGTTAGGAGCCTGGGTGTTGCTGTAGAATAATATGCATGTTCTTCCATTTCCTGGATATTTATTAACTTTTCACTGATCTCAGATCCCTACCCTTGCAAATCTCTGCTTGTATACTATTCAAGAAAGCATCTGTCTTTCGGAAAATATTAAACCACCCATTTTCACATGGATGACTTTTCAGTTTATGTGTTATCCTGTATAGGACATTCTTTGAAGCATACTGAGATGCTTTCTTGAAGCACTACCTTATTAATTTAGTTGACTGCAGTGAAACTATTTAAGAGTCAAGGTCTGTTTGCACAATCCAATTTTTTGGACTTGAGAACAGAGGAAAGTTTTGCCTTGGTTCTTTATTAGTTTCAGTGTAATACTGACCTTTTATTAGTTTTCTATCTTAATGTACTCTCCGTGATTACTTCATACCACTGTATAACTGCTGCTTTCTTTCTCCAAAGTAATTGCATTTCAGTGGTAAGTACGGTTGTTTTGATGTCACTTATCTCACAATGATGGTTTGGTGGGATACGATTTAAATCTTGCTTTCATTGATATCAGTGAAAATTTCTGGTCATTATGGATTAACCACTTTCACTGAAAACACTTCAGTTCTTTAAGTGGTTTAAAATTTAAAACAAATCATCAGAGAATAGCTACATTTATCATCTTGAATCTCCATGAACATATTTCCCACTAGAAATAGAAATAGAAAACTAATTTAATTGTATTTTATCCAGTAATTATGCAAGTTGTACTTTGTTTTGTTCTTTTGCCTATGACTGTTTTTGCTTCATTTCATACTTAGTAAGTCAGTGGAAATCCACCAGCTAATTTAACTGAGTACAGAGTTAAGCACTAATTACTTAAAATGCAGTTTCTATGGATTGCGTATGTGAAGTGTTAGAATGTTTACACTGTACTTTCAATATTTAACTCTCATTTCTAGAAAAGAGAAAAAATGCACAGAAACTTTTGGCATATGAAATGTCTGGAAGTAAATCTAGACTTTTTTTAGCTATAAATTATTTAAAATCCTTAAAGATTAAATGCCAGTTTTTCATAGTGAAATGCTTACTGTGAGAGTCCAAATAAATGTTCTCCTCATACCCCAGTCCTCCCTAAAGGCATTACTAGGGGTAGTGTTTCCATTGGTCATAATCAGACTCACATATGCTATTAAGATTTCAGAAACTAAATTGAAGCCAGGCATTGTGCCTGGCTTTGTGGCTCTCAAATGGCATATTACTCTGTAGTGTTCTCCATCTAAGAGTTGAGAGCAAGTTCTTGGGCCTTATGATTTCTTTTACATCACCAGGCTCAATTTAATATGCAGGACCTATCTCACCACTGTGGCACTTGGGCCCACAGGTTGCCTTTTAAGTACTAGGTGACAGTGGAAGCAAACAAGATACTGGGCTTGCAAAGAGTTGCAAACTCTCCTGTTAAGATTACTTAACATGAGAAATACCAATCCCCACCTTCTTTCCTCACCATTCTGAAATGTACTTTGGGTCAGTGTGTTGGAGTTCCAGTTTCCTCCTCCTATTTTCTACTAGCCCTAGGACTTCTCTTCTGAGCCACTTTTTCTCCCCACTTCAGGCACCTTCCTTTAAGGCAACAATAGAGAAGTGCCTTCCCTGTCCAAAAGTAATGTCTCTGTCTTCAACCTGTCCTCTAGAGTCTCCTTCACCCTCTCCCTCTAAATCAATTTTCCCCAGTTTTCCACCTCCCTCTTATTTTAAGATGTTAAAGCTGATGGCTTTAGTACCATTCACCACCTTAGCACAGTGTTCCACAACTTAAGAAATCCTACTCCTAGAAAGCCTGACTCCTTGCAGAGAAGTGGAGAAAATAAGAAAAACTGCTTCTACTGTCTTGAGCCAACCCTCTATGTTCCATGTGAATGTGTAGTCATCACAATATCATGACCCTTCATCTCCTCCCTCCCAAGAGATATAGGATGTAATAGTGCATGGTGGGTTCCATATCCATTGAATTACACGAGCAATTTACAGAATCAACAAGAATTCTATATAGTAGTGTTTCATATTATCACACCTTAAAAAATTCTAAAGCCTTCAGATCTGAAATTAACAATTCCCACTTAAAAAGAAAAACAAAAATTAAAAAGAAAAAAGGCAAAATAAAATTCCACTGTCTGCAGATTGCTTTCTACAGGTGAACAGGTAATGTTTTGCCTAGAATAATTGATACAGAAATGTTATAAGAAAGAAACAGTAGATGTAGAAATGTCATAGAATCTAGAAATCTGGTAAGAAAGCCAATACCTTTATATCTACTGATGCTGCCAAAACCCATACTTCTCATGAATGCCATTTGCAACTGAATTCTACATTTTATTCCTAATTACTCTTTTTTCTTTTGTATATGCCGTTTACTTGTGGTATGGTGACTACAGATCAAGGTAGACAACCACTACGATTTTCAGGACATAGCCAGCGTGGTAGCACTTACTCAGACCTACGCCACTACTGAACCCTTCATAGACTCCAAATATGACATCAGGATCCAAAAGATAGGCAGTAACTACAAAGCATACATGTGAGCCAAAAACTTATGTTCTTTCATCCTTTTGTTTCAAAACTGATAAGCACCAATAAGAATAAGACTGTTGGATGAGTCTCTGAGCTGGTGTAGTGACTCCATGCCTTTGTACTCTCTGGAAAGGCAGTATTTTAGACTTTCTGGGTTTATCAAGACTTTAAGTTGATTGTGACTGGGAGGAAGAGAGTAAGACCACAGGTGAGCCTGCCAGAGTGGTTTTCCTGCTAACCTTTGTTTATTTTTTCATTTAAAGAAAGGAGCAGTTGGAAGGGTATTTGTTTTTATAGAGGACTTGTTAAATCAGATTCCTTTGTATCTTTTCACCAACTTGGCATCAAATTTTCTTCTCCCTCTAAGGATATTAGGCGGCATTCATTCACACAAACCTGAGTTGCAACACTTTAGAGGAGCAAAGTACTCTCCTTTTAACTCAATATGTAAGAAAAATTCTAGTCTTGAAGTGACCTTCTCAGATGAAAATCTGCTCTGATCCAGATGGTTGTTTAAATGTCATGACTATACAAGAGGCTGAAAGGGTGTTTCAGTTTCACAGACATTAAACTAGAGCAATAAAGCAGGTTATATTGTAGTAGTTGAGCTATGGTAACTGTGGGTTTGCATATTTTTCCTCTGTTTCAGTTACAAAGCAATGTAATCTGAGAGAATCATTTCATTTGTGTTTTTACAACAAGCTAGATCATATCATGTGTATGTTCCCTCATGCTTACAATTCTGAGGCAGGAAAAATATAACAAAACATGGATAAAAATACACATATTCATTTACATATGCATACCCACGTACACATGCAAAGATATTTCTCTGATCACCCCTGTAACATTGGAGGGATCAGAGATTTCTTGTATGACGGTGTTTGTGAGATGCAGTCAAGTTCTTTGTCAGTAATAACTGAACTCCAAGCAAACCATAAATACTAAGAGAAGCAAAAGTTGGAGCTGGGTTAAAGAAAATGCATTAAAAAATGTATAATAATGACAGGGTTAGGAACAGCCAACAAGCTCGATGAGAAGTTAGAAGATCTTGCCCAGGGTTGGGGGAAGGAGCAACATATATCTTCTTTGGCTGATATTGGAAGGTCACAAGATCAAAACTGTATGAGCAGCTGCTGGCATCTCCTGGCTTATGAATTGAAGGAGTATTTGAGAAGGAACATCAAAGATCAGATCTTTCAAGAACAACTCAGTAGTCCATCTGCCTCTCACTGTACATCTGAGGGGCCTCGAGGAAGCACCACACAGAACTGGGTGGAAATACTGTTCCCATAGGTCAGATCCATTCAGCTCTGTGGACACTCAGTCCTTCTGCTTCATTTTGAATGCAGAATTATCTTTTTTTGGTTTTGTTTTGTTTTGTTTTGTTTTTCAAAAGCATTTGGAAATTTGAACTATATATGGTGACCAAGGCAGAACATTCATCGCTTGCAAGGACTGAGAGGTTTCTGGAATCCTTTGCTGGTGACTTCAAGTGTTCTTAGCAATGCAGGACAGAAACCTGTACTTCATGCTTCCTGCAGAATTTCAGATGCTGTTCTTACCCCAGCTCTCCCTATAGGCAATAAGAATCTTGAACACTTCTGGATAATCCAGCCCACAGCTTCTCCAGGAAAGTTAATTCCAATTCTGCTTGTTTGTTTTACAGTGATCTTCCAGACTGTTGACTTTTCCTGGCTTTACCCCATATCTGGAGGCATCCATTCTACTTTTTCAAATAACATCATACTCCTACACCCCAAGGTCACCTCTCTCTTGTCTGTCCAAGCCATATGTCAGTCCAGTCCCACAGCTTTCCTAGACCACTTTGAACTGTCTGTCTCTTAGTCCTTACCCTTTATGCCTACCCTTTTATTTATTGCCCCAGGTTGTCCCTTGCCCCTTTTATTTTGCTCAATGTCATTCAACAGCCTTGTTCTCCCTCTACTTCCAGTCACCAGTCAGCCTTCCTTCTATATCTCAGACCTTTTCATGCAACTACTTCTGCCTCTGCAAGGCTAGGATACTACTTTTCTCTCTTGTTGCTTTGACTTCTCATGTTGTGGTACCTATCTCTCTCTTCCTCTGTTGTTTATAGTAAACAGTTGATTTGTCTCTTTCTTGCAACTCCCAAGTGTCAGTCTTAGGAATAAGGCCCAGTTCTTAATGTTTATGTCACACCACAAGTAGCAGCAGATGCGATAGTCGTAGCTTGATGGTTCATTCCCTATGGTAGAAATTGGACCACTGCATTTCATAGGAGAGAGCCCTACATTTTTTTTCTTTGACTTGAAATTTAAATGCTGTTCAGTGTCTGGAATAATTTTGGAAGAGTCAGCCATGGTAAATTTATCGTTTTCAAACATAAATGTTTCTTCTTCACAGAAGAAGCAGTTGGCCTAAGGGACAGCAAAATAAGTTTAAATGACAGCCTGTTCCTCCTACCTCTTATTTATTTTTAAGTTTCTACTCAGAAACTATGGGTTCATCCAAATGCTAAAAGCCCAGCAATCATTTTTTCTCTAGATTTTTTCATACAGTTAAATCACACAAAAAATGAAATACTGATCCATTGTTACAAAGCATCATGAAAAGGAGATTTACCCAATGGTTGAAAAATGCTTCATATTCATACATATACATTATGTCAGTAGAATACTGTCTTACAGCTGGTTCTCATTTTGTTCTGCGACACAGGAACAGAGTACTTAGAGAGCCACCACAAAAAATACCAGCTGAACATTTGTTTTTGTAGTTTAAAGAGAGTTATTAAGAGCTTCAGTTTTATAATTCTGTGGGAAATTGTGGTATAAGTGGATCCATGACTCACAAAACGCTGGTGCTTATCATCTGTGGCAGAGATTATAGCCAAAATGCAACACTGGAACTCTCTAAACACCACAGCTCCTCAAAACTCTTTGTGATGCATATTTAACTGCACTTGGTACCATTATAGAACTTACCTGACTTCAAGGAAGTAAGAGTTAAAAGGATCACACACAATGAAGACAAGCAGAAATACAGAAATACAACATCAAAATCTCCTCTCCAAAAGCAATACTCTGAATCTATAATTTGATGTACTTTAATCAAAAGATCAATAAAAGGAGAGCACATCAACCAAGAAAGACAGTGCCGTAGAATCAAACCACCAAGCAGGCTGCCTGCACAAGAATTCTAGGTAGACATTTCGACATATTTTTCTGATGGCAAGTCTCTATCCCAACAATTTGGATTGTGTACTTTAAATGGTATTAATTAAAGCAGAAAGGTGTTAGAAAAGGGAATGCTGAAGTTACTATGAATTGTTTATACTAATCATAATTCCTTTCCGTGCAATCTTAAAACAGTTCTTCCTTCTTTACAAAGACCAAACCAAGCCTAAGTGTAAAGCACTCAGAAGTGGTAGGAGTTGTTTCTATATTATCCAGTACTTAATAAAAGAGGAGGAAATAACGATGTGGGAAACCCTTAGGAATTATCAGAACAGAAATGGAAAATGGTGGGAAATCTATATATTTCAGTAGAAGAAGTAGGAATTAGAGAAATCATGTCTAAGGTTTGAAGTGCCAGACGGTCTGGTCAGATACTTTTGTATCACTTAACCATGGACTAATGGAATCCCTGCTGGTTTGGTGTGCTTCTGTGTCCCAGCCCACAAGCTTTTGAGATGACACCAGTTAGGTGTGTGTCCATGGCATCCCTCACAGTGCTCATCTAGTCACTCCAGCATTGTTACAGCCAAGCAGACATCCAGTTATGAACCTTCTTCAGGTTCTACAGGGGACTTTCCACATTGTGGAGTGAAAGCATGGCTTAAAGCAAATCATCTTCTCTAATCAGTAGTGCTGAGATTATATCAGGGCAGCTGGAGATCTTGAGCTGTGAGAAGTAATAGTATCTCTGATGCAGAATATGTGTGTAGAGTAGTAATGAACATTTTTAATTTGTAAGTAGACACATAAATATCACTTTAAAAAATAAAGAAGTCACAAAATAGCCTTATTACTGGGCAAAGTTACCTTACACACAACATTCAACAGGCACATTCCCCTTTCACTACTTTCTCCTACATCAACAAAAACATGGCATCTTAAAAGAACTTTATGCTTCAAAATTCAGCTAACTTTAGGAGATTCCAATAGAAAAGTCAACATTCCACAACAATTGCTATTGACCCTCCTAATTAGGTTAATAGAAAAATGAAGAGAAAACTACAGCTGCTGCATAATATACTTTTAATACATTGCAGATGTTCCTATTACTTTACTAACTGGAAACACTTCATAATTTGTATCCTTAGCCTATTCCCACTACAGCATTTACGTTTCAGAAAACAGTAATTTTCTCAGCCCTGGTAGCAGTCCTAAGGTCTGAGAAGAAAAAAAAATTGTAGGATAGTTTTTTTTTTTTCCTTTGAGATTAACTAAAAGATGGTCTACTCAAGCCCTGACATAAACTGCTTAGATTGTATTAGTAAATTATAAAGAGGGAAACCTGGAGGAGAAACCAAAACCCAGCTCTAAAAGACATTTGAGGTCACTTCAGAGATGTTAAAAACATAGATGTCTTGATTTTCAAGTACTGGGACCTAACCCTGTAGTGGTATGGATTTGAAATGAGAAGCTGAAACTTCAGTTTCTTGACATTTGCAGTTATAGTATGTTATGGGCTCATCAATCCATTTACAGCTTGTTGCTAATCCTTTCACTTAATCACAGTAGGTTTTTTTAAAAAAAAAAACCAAAGTCTTAAATGAATAAATGGGGAACAGCAATTTCACAGCACTGTCATACTTCATAACATGCCTACAGTGAAGTGAGTATTACTGAAAATGGCAACACCTGTTAGAATGCTTTGCCTTTTAGATGTGCTGTTACATGAAAAAGGTGTAAATACTGCTATAGTATTCCTGTGAAAATCAGAGTAATTGAAGAGGCATTGAAAATGTAAAACCACTGGCTGTCTTTGTAATATTTTCCCCCTTTCAGGAGAACTTCCATATCTGGAAACTGGAAGACAAACACAGGCTCTGCAATGTTGGAACAAATTGCTATGTCAGATAAGTAAGTCGAGTCTCATGTAAAAGGTAATTAAAAAAAAAAAAATAAAGGAATTATATTTTAAAGTATTTTTTTTTAAATTTCCTTGTTGATATTCCATTCACAGTAAATGCATGTTTCCTGTTCCTTTTGGAAAAATAATAATTTTTTTGTTAGATGAAAGAACATGAGCCAAGAGTTCTGTGTGACTTGTTTTGGAGTTAATTAGCCAGACTCTAGTCTTAGGTGCTTACATGCACCCTTGGGTTCCTACACCCCTATCTGCACCTAAAAAAGGACTGGAATTCCCTTCAGAAAATTCAGTTTTTCCAATTCAATCTGTCAGTCATTTTTTCTGTTTTGTTTTGTTTTGTTTTGTTTTTTTTTCCCTCTTTTACCTAATCATACCCTGTTCCACATTGTTTTAAACATTTCCTCTTCTATGTCATCTATTTATAACCCAGCAATCTGGTATTGACATTGCCTGTTTGAATTATATTTATCTTTTCTACTTTTGGTCCTGCTAAATTGCTAATTTTTCATTTTTGAAATTTCCACTAAATTGCATTGTGAGTTTTTTTCCCCAGATGTTGGGATATGCTGAAGCTTGTTTCCCTCATGTTATCATTGCAGCTCTGTACTTTGGGTTACTGTGCTTTTCTGTTTCTCTCCTGTCCTTATGGTGGATGCTTTTTTGCAATCTAATCAATAACATTCTTCCTGCAATACAATTTTGAAGCTTGGGTCTCCTTTTGGTGGAACTCTTCTCTCAATACCACTCCAGGTTCCTCTACAACATAGCGACAACATTTATTCCCTGCAAAATAAATCTTTGAGGTTTTTTGATGGCTCTGAATTTTCTTTTGTTCAGCTTCTGTAAAGGTTGCTATTCGTGGAAGCTGAAAAAGTCTGTACAATAAAAGTGTAATTTAAAAGGTGTTTTAAAGTTCAACAGTAGTCCTTTTCTGGTGGAGGTTTTTTTTTTCTGTGTTTGTTTTTTAAAGTCTGGAACCTACAGCTTGGTCCCTCCTATGAGCTGAGGGAGACACAGGAACTGAACCATTGCCTGCCCTGAGAAAGGTGAAAACAAGTAAGACGGGAATTGCAACTCCCTCCTGTCCAACCCCTGTCTAGACTGTGTCCTTGCTGATCTCCCCTCTGGGGATGGAGTGGAGCCACAGTATTTTCTCTCGCTCATTCCCCTCCCACTTTCCTTTAGAAAGTGAGGTTATGCCTTCACTGAGAGGGAGAAGGAGGAGTGTACCGCAGTGTGTGTAATTACAGCCCGGGAGCTGCCCCTCTGTAAAAACACAGGCATTGGAGCTGAGCTGGAAGGAAAACTAAACAATATCAAGTATGGCAATGAGGATGAAATGCCAACCTTGCCTTGCTACTTCACTGGCAATGCTCTATGTGCTCTGCTCCTGCATCTGTTTTTAAGATAATTATTTTTAAGATAACTTTAAGGCATAATAGATATTTTCCCATTTAAAAAAAAAAAAAAAAAGCTAGCCAACAAAGCAAAACTTCTTTTATTCTGATGAAGACAAAAGCATAGAGAAGATGGGTGCAGAAAGGGGGGGAGGTGTCACGTAGTCCTGCTTTTTGTTTGATGACCCACTGAACTGCACTACACAGAGCAAGGAAAAGAGAGGAAATGGAAATTTTCTGAAGAGTTGAAGTGGTTTAACAAACTACTGTACCAAAAGCCATCGAATCTGGTGCATGTGCCTTTCATTTATAGTACAGCTCATGAATTAGGAAGACGTGTTTTGAAAGCATTGCCTGAGTTGACGTTGTTGACTGAATACAAATCTTAGTCTAGAAACGTAGAGAAGAAAGAAGAATGTGGCACAGTAAGGGACCGTGGTAGAGCAGAAAATGAGTATGTTTCAAGGTTCCACATTCTTATTGACCCCTCTGTTTCAGGGTTCAGGTAGGACCAGAAGAATAGAGACCTGTGCTGATTGTGCACACCTTGTCTGGCACACCAGATATTTCATGTCAGATGCCTGAGCGACTTTATTATCTGTCAGTACTGAGGCTGCTGCACACTATATTGGCTCTGGGAAAACAGAACTGTGACCTGTTGTCAAACCTACTGTGCAAGCCTTGGGTTTAAAACACTACAGGCTAGTCCATCCAAGACATCTCTTTCCAAATGTAACTATAGTTTTTCAGCTCTGTGTTTGTTCGCAGAAGATAGACTATTAAAAATAATTCCATAGATCTGAATGATGTTTCAGTGTTTTAAAGAAAATGTCTTATTTTTTTAATACAAAGTCTAAATATTTACTGTTAAAGGCAAGTTTTGCTCTCCTTGTGACTTTCTAAAATACATGTTGGTATTTTACAGGAAAAAAAAAGTTATTTATAAGCAAGTGCATGCAAGCCGTCCAGTGAGTCAGTGCATCTACAGATGTTGAAATTGTCAAGCATCCAAAAATACTCTCGTTTTGGATAAAAAAACATGTTTCTCACAGGAAAAAAATATTATTTTCATTGCTAAAATGCTACTATCAGGATTTTTGCAAGCAGTTGTGTCAATTTCTTTGTATTCTGCTGAAAAGAGAAAGCTTTCCACTGGAACAGACGATATGAGAAAATACAAAGAATATGATTTAATAGGTTGACTTGGAAGGGATACTATTACTGTAGTTATTTATACATGAATAGGACTCTCAGCCCAGCAACGAGTTTCCTTTGATCCTACAGTGGAGTCAAATGCTATGTGTATTACATCAGTATTTTTGCAATGGAAAATACTATGATGTGGCCAATCTATCATTGTGGCTCGAAGGCTGGATCAGGAAAGGGTCTGTAAAAGGAAATAGAAAGGGTCTGTAAAAGGAAATAGCTCTCATTTATACTTAAATGCTAGCCAGCAAAAGAGGAAAAAAATATGTTGATAAATGGCTGCTTTGAAACTGTAGGGTTTTGAGCAAAACATGTTGGTGGGGCTGATATCTGCCTGGATAAACTTTTAAGATCTTAGCATCATTTCCTGGTGGCCGTGCACAGCTATGCTATGAGTTAATGAGCATTCTCAATGCCAGTTTGTGTCTTATGAGTCAGTCCTTGCTGTTGGGCAAACACACACTGCTTACATCACCTCAGAACGCTTGCAGCAAAGGGTTCTGCCTCCCTGTTATGTCACTTCCAGCTCGATACTTGATCACAGGAATTGCCTCACTCTTTTTCTCGTAAGCTCCCACTTCATTCCCTTGTTAGTCAGGTAATCTCTCTATTCATCAGACGGATAAAGCTCGTCATGCAAGGAAAATAAGTCAAATTCGAATGCACATAGAATGTTCCTCAGTCTGTGTTTCTTACCGTGAAATTCAAGTGAATTTTGCTGCAGTTGTCTGTAAGCCTGTGTGAAGAGTGTTATCCTTGTCTGCATGCTACATAGATTTTACATAGTGTCATAGGCCTGTTTCACTTGCATCATCTTAAGGGTTGTTTTGTCTTGGTTTTTCTTTTGCCTTGTTCGGTGATGGACATATGAAGTTGTCATTGCTACTCTGGAATACAGCTGGGTCCATCATTTAAGACAGAGACTCATTCTAGTTTTCCTGATAAAAGAATAAAACCCATCCATAATTAAGTACGCTGTCAAGCGTAACAGGCAAGAGGATTATCACACAGGAACACAGAAGCCCTGTTCCTTACTTTCTAACATCCCTTGGCATCACCAAAGCCACGAAACCTGGTCAGATGCTGAATTCCCCTTCTGTGGAGATCCAAGATGAAGTACAGCCACAGCAAGCGAGCTGTGCGAGCATGATGGCACTGGAGCTGCAGGGTGGGGTGCAGCTAAATGCTGTTTGTGTCCCAGTGTATCTTATCTTCAGGTTACTCACAGTTTAGAGCAGGCATATGTGTGGACCAATAGAAACTGGAACAGAATCCAGCATAATACTAGTTCAGAGCCGCAGCTTTTCTGGACTCTACTGGGAAAGGTAGAGTCATCAGGCTGGTATCTCCAAGCTGCTACTCTGGGAAATGCCAGTTCAGCAAAACCAACAATATAGTGAAAATTCCAAATTTAGAGCAAGCAGTGTATAAAATACAATTACTAGGTTAAGTCTATAGAAAAACAAGAGCCTGATGAGGTTCTCACAGAAAAACTTATTTTTATGAAACAGGTACAAGCTTTGGGTTGACACCTGTTCTGAAATATTTGGTGGCTTGGACATCTGTGCTGTTAAAGCCGTACATGGGAAGGATGGAAGAGATTATATTTTTGAGGTAAGCAATCCCACTCTTTTCGATATATGCTTTTATATATTACAAACAGCCAAGTCAAGAACATTTCTGATTATTACATGTTGGCTTACTTGTGTTTCAGGAAAGGCTGTGTATTTTTGAACAGTGTTTAAATCATAATACAAAGCCACATGCCCAAGTTAGTGGCAACACTTGCTGGAAAATGTAACTATATATATGGTAATGTCTTTTAGTGTTTGAGGAAATGTACACAAACTACAAAACAAAACCAAATGTGGATGTCACATTTTCCCAACCCTCATGATTTCTTTCCTGAGCAGGCTTACCAGTTTTTCCTGGAAGGTTTATAGATAGCGCTATCCCATGGGAACCCCAGCAAAATTACACCTTTACATGGAAAGGGAAATTAAGTATGAAGTGGAAACAACTTTACTTTTTTCTAGCCTTAATGTTACCTTGAAGATCTGATTCCTCATGAATCACAAGTTTCTGCTGTAGAAACTTTTCTGTTGAAAAGTTTAGGTTACTCATTTGCCTTAAGTTTATTATGGGTAAATATAACTTCGTCCAACTGTAAAACAAGAGATCATCACTTCCCTATCACACAATTCAGGATTTCTTCAGCATCTTCTGTGTTCTTAGAATTGTATTCCGGAGATAGGCAAGGATCTTCAGAATCTCCCTGCTCCAAAAGAGGTTGATATTTGCCAAAGCAAAACTCGGAGTATTTTTTCTAAACTAGGAGGGTAATTGGAGATTATGGCTTGGTATTTTCTAGTTGTTTGTATCCATTTATAGCAGAAAATCTTGGTAGAAGTAAAAATCTTTTCGTCACAGTGTTAAACAGCTCTGTATATTTTCGCAAATTTATTTATCACTATTGCAACTGTTAATAATTCCCAGATGAATCAAGAGCAATTTAAAGGACTGAGCAGCTTGCAGCATTAAACCTTCAGCAAAACAAACAGAATTAATTGCTACTACCTGAGATGCTGAGGAAGATTTCAAGAAAACCTTTTTCCTTAGTCTGCCTGGCCAAATCAGAACTTACTGTGTCATATAGTATCAAAACCCACTGCAGCATAAAATTTAGGGTTCCACACTAAACCTCCTCTGTGGCTCCTTCATACAATGCTGTCCTTCTCTTCTGCCACACCCTGATGTCCCTGTGAAATCTGTAATGCTTCACCCAATGACATCTGAATGAGATTTGAAAGAAGCCGGGGGGAAAAAGTATTTTACTCTTTCTGAAAGCAGATTGCTCTAACTTTTTATGATACAAGATAGTTCACACTGATTTGGCTGGCCTTAATCCAATAAATTTTGACCCCAAAATTGAAAATAAAGAAATGTGGATTATTTTAAGACACAAGATTTTGACATAAGACTTTTATTATCTTACCTCTTAAGATAGTAGCTAAAAACTGAAAGATTGCATGCAAAAAGGTACAAAACTGGAGTAGAATTGCATTTGACAAGTATACTCTTATAATAGCTAGATGTTTCAGACTTAAAATGATGATGTTTCTTACACACATTAGCTAAAGTTAGTCTGGGAAATGATTGGCATCAACCCACACTCCTTAGTCCCTCCTATTGATCTTTTTTATTCCCTACATTCTTTTTATCCTGCTCTTTTTCTACTAACATAGTCAGACCTTTTCTGCTTCCAAGGGAAGTGAAGGTTGTCTCCTTTAACAGTTGCATTTTTCAGTGAGCACATTCCTGTCAGACTAAAATCACTTCGTTTTCATTCAGCCATCTCCACATTTTTAATATTGCACAGTTTTTCAAATTTTTGAGTGAAGACAAAAAGCATCATGAGCTGCTGCTGAAGTCAGGTACACAGGGTAATGCCTGCATCAGGCCTGGGAGGTCTGGTGGGTAGGAGGAGAAGAGGGAGCAGGTTTTTTTAAAATTAAGTAGCCAGTGCGAATTATATAATGGATTAACAGAGTACCCCAATCCTGCTTCTGAGCAAATCTCCTGGTTTTCCGTGCCAGATACAGTCATACTTTCAAGGAAACAGAATTCTGAGAACTGCAGGATACCTCAGGAATGGGGTTTACAGAGTGTTTTAAGTAGTGTACATAATGACGGTCGCAGTTAAATGAAATAGTGGAGATAAGTGTGAGAATTCTTTCTGTTCCATAGAATCAGCTGAATTGTTTGGAAGATGGTGAAGCTCATCAGCAAGAGTATTTAGAATCTGGATAAGACATTGAAATGTAGAATTGTTTGCAAAGTTCACATCCAACAGAACATCTGCAAAACATCATTTGCTACTAAAAATCCAGCTTACATCAACAGTTATTACACTGTAATTTTAACAGTTATTGCACTATAATTCTCTGATACAATGAAGAGAAGACTGTCTGTACCAGTACAGGAAATTTTTTTCCTTTTTTATCCTTTCAACATGGGACAATAACTGTGTTATTAAAGCTAGCATGTCTGTGCTGAAATCAAGAACCAGCAGCCAAGCAGGACCATGAGTCTGTACGTATTGGGTTTGCACTCCAGTTCCAGTCCCATACTAAAACTCTCATGTTTGCATGGTGACTGGGACACCTCCTACAAAACAAAATGTTTCTGTGTTACTGACACTTTAATTCTGAAGATATAATCTGACAAGAAGCATACAAACTTCCTAATGTATGAAATAACACATGCAGATATGTTCTTCCAGATTCTTTAGTTTTAATATTGAACCAGTGTAACCACCAGTAGTAAAACATACTTACATGTCATCTAGCTTCCATCAGAATGTGAATTAAGGTAGAATTCTACTAAAGTATCCTTCATATACTCAGTGTTCCACACAGAAATTAACTTCTGGGGGTTTTCTTTAATACGTTTGGGAGAGAAGTGTTTTATAGTAATAACTATTTAGTACCTAGTACACATTTTGACAAAAGTATTCAACAAGTTGTACATAATACAGATGTTAGTTTTAAAATACCCACAGTGTTTAAATATTGCATGTAACAACTCATCTGCTCACAAAAATCTGTTCTAAACTAATGTCAGAAAGCATAACATGTAAGTGACTTTTTCTATTACTATTTCTGGATGTTTTTTAATTAATTTCATATTGTCGTTTCCTTTTTTATCCTATACCAGTAATTTTGTTATTTTAGTGCTGTAGCCATTCAACTGCTTTGTGATGGTCATTTTGTCATTCCTTGATTTAACATTCTGCTTTCTTTTGTTCCCCAAAACCATGGAGCAACAAATTGTACCAGTGGCTGATATTAGAGAATCAGTGTGACATTCTGTCTCCTGAATCTAATATTCTAGCTGTACTTCTTTAAAAACACCACTATAGAGTGATTCTTTATCTGTGATCTAGTACAGTACGCTTATGTTGCAGGTAAGAACGTGTTGGTTCTTAATGTTAGATGCAGTTGTCATGCCCCACTTCTTCAAGAAGGGTAAATGCAGGGTTTGTTTTTTTTTTTTCTATTTTAATTTCCCTAATAGTTTTGCTTCTGTATGTATTTGATTAAAGGGATGAGAGGTTTTAAATAACTTATTCTTATTTTAAAGTCTCACAGCCATCCCTACTATGCAAAGCATGCTTGCTGTGTACATAGAGTAATGACTGTTCAGGAATAATGTGAAAGGATTAGAGAATTAAAAAGAAAGAAAACAAAGTTAAGGTTTTTTAGTGACACTGAGGTGTAGTTCTAGACACTTAATTTCTGCTTACGTGAGCCTTGTTATGAAATAAAGAAGTACACAGTTCTTTATTACTGTTAGCTTCTTCTAGATGTCTCCTTCATGGGATGTGTATATTCCTTTGACCAAGTAGGTCTCAGTGTAATAAAAATCCAAGAACATGCAGTGTAAGTACAGCTTCTCACATTTTATAGCTTTGAGTGCTAGATTTGGGTGCCTTTTATAGATCTGGGTCATTTCTCCAGTGCTAGTTTGCACATCAGTATCTTCATATTTCCATAGCCACACTAGATTTCTAGTTATTTGAACAACTTGAAGCCAGTAATACTGTTATTTCCCAAATATTATAAAAAGGATACATTTTGGTGTACCATTCATCTTGTGACACTGCTATGAATGCTACAAGGGAATTTTGAAGGGTGTCCATTTATGCCTTAAAAAAAAACTCAAAAAAATCTAGCCAAACTTGTCTGAAGACAGGAATGACAAAATATTGAAGTCATATTATTCAAACACAATAGAACCTCTGTTTTTCTGTGAAGCTACAAGAGCTACAGTCTCTACGGTTTCCTTAAATGGGTGGTATCAGAGATAAATTTGACTTTTAAAAGAACATTGTTTTCAAAAGGTTGTTCCCTGGAAGAAGTTACCTTCTCTAGAAGAACCTGGTGGTTCTTCATATCTTTGACTTCTATTCTCCAAAGAACTATCTCCAAACTCCTACTAGGGAGCAATGAACTAATTAAAGAATCACTTAGCTGAAAGGAATGATTATCTGGTTGATCAGGAGGAAGGCCAAGTTATCATTCTGTGTAACAATCTTAACTATTAATTTAGGGTCTGCTCTTTTCTCCTGAGTTGGAATTCTCAGCTACCAAACATCATCATGCCAAAAACAAGCTGTAGAAACAGTAATTTTATTAATACATCATTGCAACATAGCTTTTTAACTGTCTCAGCAATTATTGTTAATAAGACATCAAATTAAGGCCCAATAAACTTTAACTTCTCACATGAACGGACTTTTAATCTCTCCCTTTTTCAAATTAATACTTCTGTAGTTTTAATACTAGAAGGAACAGATATTTGAGCGTTGCTCATGTCTCTGACTCCACTGAATATTATCTTTCATGATTCATTCTTGGAAAACCAAACCTCTGGGAAACTAAACAAAAGCTCATATCCTGATGATGAATGCAGTAAAAGAGAACAAATGTAACAGAATCCTTTAAAGTAGCCTCGGAGGCAGTGTTCCAAATTTTGCTCAAAATTGAATGGGTGGGTGGTTGCTGCAGGTGTCTTATTTCTCCTTGGTTTTTTTTTTTACTCTAAGCTTTATT